CGTGCACGGGGACTACTGCTGCTGCATGTTCCCCGTCGCCTCACCGCACACGCCTCCCCTTTTCCTGCGCCTCTCTTTTGGCCGGAAATCGGGGTGAAAACGCTTGTAAAAGCGCGCGCTTCGGTTTGAATGAGGCGAGGCGACGCGCGACGGGCGGCTTGCCAGGAGGAGGTCTAAACGCGTGACGGGACGGGAGCGCCGCGCAGAGTCTCCGCGCGCTCGGAATGTCGTGTCGACGCGATCGCCGCGACGTCGTTATCGATATGGGCGAGTATAAAAGCGGCGATAGGAAAGAAAGAAAATAAGAAAAACTGTCGCGCTGCGTTTGTAAGGCGGCGGCCGGTCGTGTTTCCCGCCGAGGCGAGCTTGACTGTTTGCTGGTGGCCGCTCCCTATCGGAAGCCGGGCGATATCGCAGCGATAGAGAGCGGTAGGTATGTGTAAAGTAGTGCGCTGCTGTGCGCCGCACCCCGGGGCGGAGAGTGAGTGTGAGGTGTCACAAGCCTCTGCGATAATTATATCGGCACGACTCCATACGGCGAGGGGCATTAGCGAGGCCCGGTCGTGTCATCACAACCAGCCTTCTGAACGGAAGCGTTGGAGCGGCGCGGACACGGCGTGTGCAGCTCGTAACGCGCGCCCATCAGAGAGAGAGAAGGGGGAGAGAGAGAGAGAGGGAGAGAGGAGTACGACGGTTAGTCGCGCGAAGACGGGACGAAAAACAAATTTCACTTGCGATCGAAATGCGTTACATGGCCCCACGGCGAATGAAAGTGATATGGCACATGAGGTGCGGCGGCCCACGACGGGACGTTCAGTGAGCGGGCGCGCAGCTCGGCCGCACCTGCGACCATAGCGGGTGACCTCTGAGCTGCGCGACCTGCGACCTGCGAACGCGTGACCCCGGCTGGTCGCCGCGGGGCGGCGGCGGCAGAGGAGAGGAGTGGTCAGCGTCATCTTCAACCGCCGCGCGCCGCCGCCGCCGCCGTGCGGCCGACTTGTGCAAGCGTTACGTTCGGAGGGCAAGTCGTTACCCCCCCCCCCTATTCTCTCTCTTACCTCTCTCTCTCTCTCTCTCCTTTCTCTCTCTCTCTGTCTCTCTCCCTCTCTCTCTGTTCCCTGTCAGCTGAGCCTGGATGTTTTCATAGCCGACCGCGGAGGCGTGCACTCTGTGACACTGCGAGAGGTCTATGTCCTCTGACCCGCCGCCACTGGTGCTGTTGAACAGGTTGCTCTCTCTCTCTACCGCTGTCTCCTCCTCTCTCACTGTCTCTCTCTCTCTCCCACACGTCTCCAGCGAGTGCCTCGGTCGGGTGGAGTGGAGTAGAAGAGAGAGGGAGAGAGATGGAGGGAGAGACAGGCTGTTGGCGCTCGGCCCTAGATGCAATAACCGACCGCATACTTTCCCAACGAGATTGGCGTCCCGAAGAAGTGTCGACGCGCCTCCGTTCCCTTTGACCCCACATCGCGTCACCGCCGCCGCCAACGGCAGCAGCGCCATTGCAGTGCTAAAAGTCACCGGGCGGGTTCGATTTACTGCGGCCCGCACGTTCCTATTTGTATTTCCCGCCGATAAGAGTTGTTTCTTGGCGGAAGGGTGTGTGCGGGCCTTAGTGATAAGGCGAGGCTACCTCCTCACCTGCCCCCTCCTAGTGTCCGGTAAGGCGTGGAGGTGTGCGTGCGCGAGAGAGAAGGTGTAACTCAAATGACCGAACTCCATGCCGCTCTCTCTCTCTCTCTCACTCTTTATCTATGATGGGGGGGCCGAGCAGAGGGAGTTATCTTCACGCCTGGTGTTCTTCTACGCCCGGGTTCTACCATGAAGTTGAAGTATCTTACATCAAGATATCGGAGTATCGCCATCGTGAAACCTTCATGGGATGGGTATCGCTCTACGATAACACGGTGAGGTATACCGCGCTACCAATATATTTACGGCTCGATATTGTCAAGCCACAATAATGAGTACATGAGTCTGTAATCAATACTGAGCGGCTTTATCGCATCGAAATTATCAAAATCCATTCAGATATCAGCCCCACAGAACACGCGTGGGCGCGCGCGCACAGGACACACTGGAAATGCAAGTGTGTGAATGTCGCTCACCTGCAGGTGAGCGACATTCACACACTTGCATTTCCAGTGCAAGCCAGGGGAAGTCCCCGCGGCCTGCAGGGGTATATAGCCTCTTGCCCCTGCGGGTCCTGCTGGTCCGGCAGTGGCCTGACGCCGCCTCTACATATTAGGACCGGATCGATTATGTCGTTATCCTCAAACAGACGGGTCGGCGTTGCGCCGCGCGACTGGTACCCGGTTGCCTTGGATGGCGCAGAGAAGCGTCCGCTAATTATGATTCATTTTTTGTTTGTTTTTTTTCGTTTTTAATATTTCGACTTTCCGAGGCCTGCTGCTGCAAGGCAAAAGCAGATGTTCGCAGAAAGAGGTGCGGCGTTTTATGGATAACCCGGGCTGAGAAAAAGACGAGGATGAGGCTAGGCTGCGATTTGACCCTCTTCGTCTTCGTGCTGCGCCGAAAAAAAAAGGAAAACAAGATTTCTTTGAGAAAAGTATGTATGTGAGTGTGTGTTTGTGTGAGGTGTAGACGAGGTGGTATGGGAAATAATGGCGGTGATCGGTGGGAAGTGGAGACCGTGTGAATCACACGATCGAGCCCCCCCCCCCTCCCCTCCTCGCCCTCATCGAGAAATTAAAGATTGCCCCGTCGAGCTGCACAGCAATGCAAAGTAATTCGACCTTTTCTCGCTTTCCTGCATGCATGGCCAGGGTCGGGGAAGGGGTGGGGGGTGGAGTGGGGGGATTGAATAGCGCGCGAAGAGGAGGACCGGGCTCCTAACAACAACGGTCATCGCTGGTCAGTTACAGTCATCTTATTTTTATTTTTTTGCTCCAAGCGTCCCTCTATTTAAAGCGTTATAAATGCCCTGGCAGAGCAATGGGAAAATTGACTTTAAAATTGGGAATTACATTTTGTGATGTTCTCTCAGCCCCTGCGTGGAAAGGAAATTCCGTTGAGAAGGGGGGGTGGGGAGACCAAAAAAATGCGATACCACTCTGGTGTTTTCCAGAAGTTTGGTTAGAGTATTTGTACAAGCATATATACTTTTTAACTATATTATTATTACTATTATTCAAACCTTCGAACGTTGACGGCGCGGCCGCGGCCGCTGCGCTCGTCGTTCTGACCGCGCCTGTACCTCACCGCGCCAGTCACTCAGTCACCCCCTCCCCTCCCCTCCGACTCCAGCCAGCAGTCCAGCTGCAACCTCCTCGCGCCGCGGCTCCGTTCAACCCCCCTATACATACGGTCCCCCGAGCCGCGGCTGTGGGGTGAGAGAGAGAGAACGAGAGAGGGAGAGAGAGAGAGCGAGAGAGAGGAGGGTGAGACAATCAGTGCAGCCGTTACGGGGCGGCGCGGGGCGGCAGGACCGGCAGAGCCGGGGGAAAGTCATTGAGAGCGTGCCCGCGCGCCTCCGCGCAGCCCCGCGCCAGGAACTGCATCACATCGTCACCGCCACGCCAATAAGCGGCGGCATTGCAACGCGAGCGCGGCGCGGGAAAAAAATAAAATTTTAAAAATAAAAAGCACCGTGCACGGTATGGGATCACTTCTTTTATGCCTCGTTGGCGACAGCCGGACGAGTCGCGTTCGTGTCTAAGAAGGGCACGACGACGCCGCGTCCGCACCCAAAAAACTGAGCAGTTCATGGGGCCAAAAACATCGTACGTACTTGATCCTTAATTTTTCAAGTCCATATCTCCTGAATCAAGCGTGTTGTGCACTGTCAAGGATCAAGTACAGTGAACTTTCTTTGGCGTGCCTCGTGAAAACAGGCTTTAGAGGGTTTTGAACTGCTAGGAGCAGGGAGTTTTCGTTCCATGCGGGACGGACTGGACGGCCGTTAGGCTGAGGGGTGGTGGTTTGGTGAGGGTGACGGTGTCCCAGGCGACTGCTGTTGGCAGTGTGGCGAGGAAGTGAAGCAGTGCTTCTTTGCCCTGCTGGCCCTGCCGCGGCCGCGCTGGTATGCGCGCAGCAGCCCCGACACGAGACGAGTCCGGCCGCTGCTGCAGCAGCAGCAGCAGCAGCAGCAAAGCATTTGCAACAAGAAGAGCGGCTCGTGTGCGACGTGACGAGCGAGCAATTGAAGCAACAATTTTATAATTCCACGGCGGGCGGCCGCCCTTCCTCGCCCTCGCCGCCGCGCTGCTGGGGCACTCTTTTTCTTGTTTTTGAAAAACGGACATCGCTACCTCAGTGACAAGGAGCTGCCTTGCTGAGGAATCCCAAACTTTGATTGGAGCGCGTGCAGCAAAGCGCGAGCAGGCCTCGCCGCCCTTGCGGCCGCGGGGCGTGGTGCGCCCTCTGGGCGTGCCACTGTCGCCGTCCTCTGGCCCGCCGCTGTCGCCGTCCGGTCCTGTCCGCGGCGGAGCGGCAGGTGCCCTCGCGCCGCGCGGCAGGCGGGGCCGGGGCCGCGGCGGCGGCGGCCGGATCTGCATCGGGGGGCCTTAATCGGGTCCTATTACACCCGGCCTGGACAAGGCGCCGGCCGAGTCGTAAATCTCTCCCGCGGAGCCCCGCGCGACGTGTGAAGAGGTTATGTTGGCGCGCTTGTCGCGGCCGCGCGCGGCGCGCACACAGCCTGCTTTCGCGCTGGGCTGGGCCCGGCGGACAGCTCTGTTAGAGCAGCCCCGGCCCCGGATTGGCTGTCCTTATTAATGAGTTACAGCACTCGGTTGTGTTTCTTTTTTCGAGATTAGCCCGCTTGCTCGCGGCCGTGGCGCGGCTCGCAGTTCCATCATCCTCCTCCCCGCTGTTGCAGCAGGGCTGTCGCGGCCGCGCGGAGAGGAGAGGGTTTATCAAGAGCTGCCAACAAGGCGAAGGAGCTGCCGGAGCAGGGCTGCCAACCTGACCCGTTAGTCGCACCGCACAAAGTTATTAGTCGGCCATCGATTGCAGCCAGCAGAGGCCAATTAGAGACCGCATGCATGCATTCGTGAGCGAGTGCGAGCAAGGCGGAGCAAGCAGCGGGCTGTTTTAAGGTATCCTGATGTGGACAGTCCCTGTAGACAGTGCAGTCAGCTCTGAAATGTAAACTTTCCCCCGGGGACATAAGAAGCAAATGTGAGGGTCGCAAAGGGCTACAAGGCTGTCAGAGCAGACATTTAAAACAAATCATGGCATCTAGACTCTAATTTACGATAATTTTAAAGTCGACGAAATGCGGCCGGAGCCTGGTCGAGGCACTTTTGGATCTGACTCTCCGGTTTTCGCTGCCAACCTGAAATATGATAAGGTATTAATATAATGCAAGTTATTCTTGTTTCGCGTTCTAAACGGGGAGATAGGACTTTGAACAATGATCTATGTATGGTAAAAAATAAACAGGTACCCTATTTCAAAAAGTTAACTCCATTAAACATTGATGTCTCGAACTACTTTTTGTTTTGTGCGATGCGGCAACGTTGCAAGTGGTAGCCCTGCAGCAGCAGCCGACACGACGCCATGTTTATTTACGTCAGTCACTCACTGCCGGCCGCCAAGATCACACATCTCAACTTGGTATTCTTTATATTTTAATACCAAAATGCCGAGACATAAAGGAAGAATTATCTCCGCGAAGAGGCTGCACACACTCCAGGCTAAAGCAGCAGCCCTCAAGAGAGCCAGGGAAGCGAGACAAGCGGAAGAAACAGAGGAAGAGCTGGAACAAGCCGAGTGGGAAATCCCAGAGACGCCAAAGGCAGCTGTGCGACGAAAACTTAGTCCAGGCTCTGTCGAAGAAAATGCTGCACCCAAAAAGGCGAAGAGCACAGAAACCGAGGATAATACTAATTGTGCAGGAGGGCGCCGAATCGTGGAATACAAGGTGCTGGGAAAAGGCCTGTGGTGCTGCTACTGCAAGGAGTGCATGTCTCTGGACAACATCGAGGACGAGAAGTTATTTGGTTTGGGGTCTATTCTCAACGTTCGTTGTCACAAATGCTGCACTATCAACGTCGTCCCTACCGGGAAACGGCATGCAGATAGTCTAAACCGCGAAACTCTGTTCGATGTGAACGCAAAATTCGCACTGGGTAAGTGTTTCACGCGTGGAAACAAGGGGGAACATAACCCCACATCGTGCCAGCACACAGTACTGTACTAATGTTTCTTGGTGTTTATTTTTGTGTCTGCAGGTGTTATCAACAGTGGATCCCTTTACGCTCCTCTCAGAGCTTTGTTTGCTGCCATGAACATGCCTATTATGTCGTACCAAACCTACAAGAAGTATGAGCGCAGTGTGGGAAAAAAGGTTGAGGAGGTAGCCAAAGTGAGCTGCGAGGAGGCTGCAAAGGAAGAAAGGGAGCTCACCATCCAGAACAAGGCCGCCCTGGAGCAGATTCTGTAAGATAATCATATTACATTGTTAGCAACAACAATTCAGTAAGAGCAGTGATTATGTCATGCCAGTTCATGGGACTGTGGTGGGTGCAAGAATCGTATCAAACAAGGTAGCGTAAACTGAGTAACTTCTCAACCAGTAGTGGTGAAAGTGAATTTTTTTAATAGTACTATAAACGGCTAGTCACCATAACATATTTTTAGGTTATTAAACAAGTCCGAACTGTGATATTATTGTTGACATATTCAATGCTTTATTGTTTTTGTTGAACGCGACTTTGTTTTTTTGATTGTTTCTTTTAGATTCACTTTATACTTGTTTATTCATGGCTCTCTATCATGTATTGTTTTGTCAATAAAACAAATACAAAGACCCATGTAACAATTCTACTGTATTTAATAATCATGCTACTTATTTCTTCAACACTTGTAGGCCAGAACATCTCAGCGCAGACTTCATCATTCCAACGACAGTGACAACATTTGAAAAGGTGGTAAGGATAATGGTATCGTTTGACATGGGTTGGAGTAGGAGAGCGGCTGGAAGAAATTATGATAGTTTAAATGGGTATGGGTGTATGGTTGGTAATTTTACGGGGAAAGTTATAGATTATGATACAGATAATAGAATGTGTATGATGTGTGAAGCAGGCCACACTCCCGATACACATGATTGTAGGTTAAATTATTTTGGGAGTGCTAAGGGTATGGAAGCTCATGTTGCGAAAAAATTAGTAATAGATAGCAATATCTTGAAAAGCCAAAATTTAGAGGTTGGTGTTTTGGTAACAGATGAGGACTGCTCCTCTGTAGCAGCTTGCAGGGCAGCAGCCTCTCATGAAATTGTTAAACAAAGTGATAAGAATCATGCTAGCAAGGGGGTAAAAAAAGTTTTATATGGCATGGAAAAAAAACATGGTGAAATTAATGCAGAAGCAATTAAGTGGTTGCATACTTGTTTTACTTATGCTTTATCTCAAAATAAGGGAAACTCTGCTGCAATGGCTATTGCTTTAAGAGCTATACCCCTCCACACATTTAATGATCACACTCTTTGTGGCAATTGGTGCGGCTACAAGAGAGATCCAGAGAATTATGATCATAGAACTGTTCCGGGGGGATTCACAAATGAGCAACTTAGAGAAGATTTAATTGATGTTTTTAACAAATTAGCTGACAATGCCAACAAGTTTTCTGCTGCTGCTTCAAGTAATAGTAATGAAAGTATAAACTCTATGATGGCTAGAAAGTGTCCAAAAAACACCTGCCTCAGTATGTCAGAGTCAGCTGATTTCCGTTATGCTGCAGTTGTGGGGAAAAAAAATTTGGGAGAGGTTTACACCCAAAAGACTATGGAGTTGACTACTCTTAGTCCTGGCATTCCATTTAATACTTCATATGTAAAAAGCACAGATAGAGCAACTACAAGTAGGCGGTCCCTTTATAACACTAGAGACTTTAAAAAAAAAAGAATAATTAAGGCTAAACACAGGGCAAATATTAAGTATAGAAAAGAGGTAGCAGAGGGCACCACTTATGAATCAAATTGTAACCTTTTAGTACTAGATGGAGTTGAAGTGATACCGTTGGGTGAGGATGATATTTCTGAGAACTGGTTGGTTGGTGGGGAGGCTGAGGGAGTTGTAGTTTTATTTGATTTGGAAACAGGTGGGCTTAAAGCTGACTCTGACATTTTGCAAATAGGGGCTAGATGTGGCAAAAAAATTTTTGACACATTTATCAGGCCCACAAAATCTATCCCAAAGGAAACAACTAAAGTTAACGGGTTAACATCCAATTCCGGGGACCTCTTTAGGCATGGAAAACAGGTGAAAGCAATCCCTCTCCAAGCTGCCATTACCAGTTTTATAGATTTTCTAGTTTCATTTGGAAAGGTTGTTTATTTGTGTGCTCATAATGCCTTTGCATTTGATGGTCCCAGAATTTTAGCAGCAATCACTCGCAGTGGCCAATTGCAAAGATTTCAGTCTACAGTAAAGGGTCTTGTGGATTCCCTACCTATTCTTAAAAAAAATAGACCTGGAAAATCAAATGCATTGGGAATAGTTGCCCAAGATTTAAATATTTCATTAAAGGATGCACATGATGCTGTAGCAGACATCACCATGTTACATCTTATTTTACAAGAACTAAAATTGTCAGCTTCATTTCTCATTTCTGAATCTATACTTGTAACTACTTTAATTAACAGAATGGAGTTAAAAAGACATCTAGAGAACGTACTAACTAAGGGCATGCTAGATAAATTTGCTAAAGGTGGTTTAACAGTTGAATCTATTCAAGACACTTTTAATGCCAGTGGTGTGACAGGAGTAACTACATTAGTGAAAAGTGTTACTAAACATCAAGCCTCCATAGACAAATTATGTGATTGGTGTCAGAAGCAGAATGCAGGGCATTCAACTACTGCATCAGTGACAAATAACACAGTTTTACCATTTACAGCTTCAACCTCTACTGCTACTGAACCTGTTAATGAATTTTTACATGTAGCATGGACTTCAAATGAACCTGAAGAAAGGCAGTCCTCCCCTGATCTTTTTAAAGAATATTTACCTCCTGACTTCGAGACCAGCCAACAGTTGCCATTCGGAGACTTTTGAATCTATCATCTGCGTACACTACTTGGTGCTCTCACATACCAGGTTGATCATTGTTTTTGCCCCGTGAAAAATAAATTTAACACTTTTGTCACCAGGTGCCTAACGGATACAATCCAATTGGTAAGACAGTTAATTATGTACATTACTTTTTTTGTTTTTATAATAAATTGTGAACAAAATAAGTGCTTTTTTCCTCTCCTAATGCAAAGTGCATTTCAATCTTCCACCTAACACTGTTCAGAGAACATAACATGGCTGCATCTTTACACACTCCCATATTAAGTGGAGGAAAAGTATAGAGTTTGAATGATATATTCACTTTAAACTAAATTGAAGGCAATCAGTGCACACTCATACGGTTCATCAAACGACGGAACTACACTCTAAATGTAAAGAGACAACGTTGCTCCCAAAACGGAAACGTTTCCGTGCACATACAGAACGGATGCAATATTGTTTGTATAATTGGACAGATTGTAACGTATAACAATTTGTCCAGTTCCATTCGGTTTGGATGTGCACAAAATTGTCCCTTTACATGTCGAGTGTAGCGTCGCGGGGCAGGAACTACGTTTGAAAGGAGCGCCAAGGGAGTGGGAGGGCTGCGGGGGCCGGCGGGGGGGCCCTGCGTGGGCGGCGTTGCCGTCATGCGGGGGGCCTCCTCCACAAAATCGTCACTTTGAGTTGTTTAAAATGGTATTTCAAGCAAACTATCTTGCAAAATGAAGTTATTTTGTAGTCGACTTGACCGTCAAACTCTAAGGAATAAATTAAGTCCTCTTTTACGGCAGTTGTACAAATAGTATCGTTTTAAACACAAATTAACATGGTCGACGGGTGGTTTTCCCATAAGAACCAATGCTAATTTTATTTTTATTATATCTCCTAAACTATACTGTAAGCACTTTTCATATTTCACCCAACGATTTGAGTGGCATTCATTACCAAGTGGTGCAAATTTCAGACAAATTAAACAACAGAAACGGAATACATCAGGATACCTTAACATACGGGCCTGAGTGCGGCCGCGACCTGGCCCAACCCGGCGGCCGCGGGGCCGGGCTCATGGACGAGTGCGAGCGGCTCGGGCAGGGAGGTGACACATGGTACCGTGGGACCACGCCAACTTCTTGCCCAAGACGCCCGCCCGCCTCCCCTGTGGTGCGAGCAAGAACAATGAACACCGCCATGATTCTTCTTCTCCTCCTCCTTCCTCGCCGCGGAGCGCGCTCGCTCCCTCTCTCTCTCCCGTTTAGGGAGCCTTTCTTCCGATCCCCTTTGCTTGGAGCGCGGCAAGAAGTCGCGAAAGGTCAGGGCCAGGTAAAGGGGTCGGAGGGTCGCGCGGGTCGGAGGGTCGCGGTGCTGCTCGGGGTGGGTTCTCACACGGCCAGGGCCAGGGCGGCGGCGACGAGGTGGAGCAGCTCACGCATGCGGCCCCCCGTCCCTGGCCCCCGGCACGGCGGCCCCGCGCGGCCCCGGCGCAGCTGAGCTCAGCGCGTAGAGCGAGCCTGACATTTCTGAATGGAAAACAGTCGGGCGGGGTGCGGCCGCGGCCGCGGGACAAAAGAGGAGACGACGGGGAGGTATGGGGGCGGCGGTCCGGCCGCGGGTCCGGTCCGGTCGGCTTTATTGTTCACGCCCCGGAGTACAGCTCGTAGCTGCGGTAGGCGACCAGGGTGGCGATGAGGCCCGCGATGATCTTCTCGGCGTCGGCGCGGTTGTTGGCGAGCACGAGGAGCGCGGCGGCCACCATGGAGGCGGGCGCGGACACGGGCGGCGCGGGCCAGGACATGTCCGTCACGGACCGGCCCAGCAGCACCTTGGCGCCGGGCCGGCCCACCAGCCAGCCCCAGGTGCCGCGCAGGGCGCCCACCAGCCCGGGGACCACGTTGTTGCCCGGGTACGTCTGCGACAGGGAGGGTGATGATT